ACCTGCCTCTGCCCTGAGTGCAAATTATATATATAATGTATGTGTGAATGTATGCGTATTGTGTAACAGTTTCCTCTGAGATTGACACATTCCATTATGTGGGCAAGGTCCTTAAACAGGAGGTAAACAACCCAAAACAGCTTCTGGAAGTCCCTGAAACTGAGCAGATGCTAGGCCCTTCCCTGCCAGAGTAAGCAATAAAAGCTGGGAGTCCCTCTCAGACAAGCCAAGCTGCAGAGAAGACTGAGACCAGACAGACCAGCTGCGGGGGAGAAGCAGAGACCAGTGGAGATGCATGGGAGAAGCAGAGCCAGGTCAAGCTCCCTGGAGGCGGTTCAGACCAGAGTCCCTTGGACAGGACACTCTCCAACCTGCAGGCTAGGAAGTGAGCTCCAGGTTCCCAGCTTCTGTGAGCTGTCACCCATGCTGGGCTGGGCCTTGGTGATGCAGCTGCCTTTGAGTCATTTCTGTTCCTCTAAGTAACCTCACACCCATATTCCTGCGACTCCATTAAAACTCATTGGTTCACCATGTTGGACTTTGGTGGAATCTGGACTTTGGTCTGTCATGGATTCCCTATCTGGGGTAAGTAGATGCATGTTGTATCTCCTCAGGAGTTTTGTCACACAACAATGCCACATATGTGTGGGTACTTGCAGAAGCAAGAAGAGGGCACCTGATCCCCGGGACCTGGAGTTACAGGCAGTTGAGAGCTGCCATCCATGGGTGCTGGGAACTGAAGACTCTGGACCTCTGTAAAAGGACTCTAGTCCTTTACCACGCCATCTCTCCAGCCCCTAAAATAGAACAACATCAGGTAGGTTTCCCAACGCCAAGACAGACCATGCCAGTGGTCCTCAGAGACCTGGCTTATACTAGACTCCGTGCTTGCAATGGCCTCTCTCTCATGCCTGACTCTTTGATAGAAAGAAGTCTTTGAGAGGCAATGTTACTGTTGGGTACAGGTGTTTTCCTCAACATTCTAACAAACAGACAGTTCAATAAATTTGTTCTGGTACATTCTATTTCTTAATCAACACGAGCAGGGGAGATGGGACATTGGAGTCTGCATTCTGTCTCTAGCAGAGGCAGACTTAGAAAATGAGTTTCTGGACTGGGAGTATAGCTCAGAGGTAAGCCTGCCAAGCGTGTGTGAAAGCCTAAGTTAAGTTTCTGGTACTGAAGGGGAAAAAAAATCAACAATAAAGTAAGTCCTGATACACTGCAGCCCCTTTATTAAGGCCCCAATAGCTACTCCAGTATCATCACTAGCTAAGTGAAACCAAGGTTTCTCAACACTTATTTATGCGTGCACACGTGGAGGTGAGCGGCTCATGACAAGATGACGGATGTCACATGTGGCGGTGAGCGGCTCACGACAAGATGACGGATGTCACGTGTGGAGGTGAGCGGCTCACGACAAGATGACGGATGTCACATGTGGAGGTGAGCGGCTCATGACAAGATGACGGATGTCTTCTCAGCTACTCGCCACCTTTTGTTCTCGGCAGGGTCCTTCAGTGATCTGAAGCTCAGAGCCAGGGATCTCCAGAGCCCTCTGTCCCTGCCACCTCTGCACTGAGATTACGCATGTATGCTGCCGTGCCCCATTTTCTTCCACGCAGGTGCTAGGGGTCTGAACTCAGGGCACCATGCTCTTGTGGCAAGTCCTTTACCAACTTTGCCATCTCTCCAGCCCCTCCAAGGAATTTCTTATGCACACAGTCATGAGGTTTTCTTGAAAGCTGGCATAGATTTACTGAGACAGGATCTCATGGGTGTAGCCCAGGTGGACCTGAGACTTGCTATAATCTTAAATTTCTGATTGTCCCGCCTCTACCCCCCAGTGCTAGGATTCCAGGCATGTGTTACCATGCCTCTTACACAGTGCTAGGGGCTGAACTTCGGACTTTGTACCCAGGAGGCAAGCGCTCTACCAACCAAGATTAATCCTCAGCTAAAAAGCAGCCTACGTTTATAAGAAACGCCAAAGCTCTGTGCCTTCTTCCTCTCTGTGGCATGTAGCTGCTTCGGTTTGTGAAAGATAAATCTGTTCCACGAATGCCACTGGATATGACTTCCTGGTGCTTTTACCTTAGATGGATGATAGCGCATCTCGGCAATCCTGGATCTCCACAAACTTCATCTTTATAGACACCGGTCTTTCTTTGGCAGTGGTTACAGGGTTTAAAATTGGGGCAGGTATAACTGAAGACACATTGTGAACTTATTATTTAATGAAAATATCAAACTTGTAAAACTTAGTTCACACACACACAAGAAAAAGCTGGGAGTTGTAGTTCAGTAACAAAGCACTTACCTAGCATGCACAAGTCCCTGAGTTCAAGTCCCAGCATCACAAAAAAAACAAAAGCAGAAAAACAACTATATAGCTTTCTAAATTTTAGACTTAACAGGTATCAGCTTTGCCTGTGGTGACTAGACCACCCAAGGTGAGGTGATGCTCCTGGGTCTTAGGCTTCGGTTGTGGCTCATGTATTTTTCTTTTCTCCAGCCTGCTTCCAGAAAATGAGTTTACCTTTGGCTTTTTGAGGCAGGGTCTGGCTGGCCTAGAACTCACTATGTAGATGAGGCTAGCTTCAAACTCGAGAGATCCTTCTGTCCCTGCCTCCTGAATTCTGGGTTAAAGACGTATGCTACCATACCTGGCTAGAATATGAGTTGAGACAGGGTCTTGTGTGGCCCAGGCTAGACTTGAACTTGTGATCTCCTGCTGCAGCCTTATATTCTGAGCAGTTCTTGGTGAGTGGCAGCATGTATAACTCATCACAGTTAGTGTCATCTCCGGATAATGGTGTCTTGAATTGTGTAGTGCAAAGCCTGGGGGGCCTTCTATCACAGTTTAACTCGTCAGGCTTGGTGGCGCACCTGCATTCCTAATGTCCGGGAGACACATCGATGTCTCAAAAACAAATGACAAAGCAGTATCTCAAGCCCAGACTGATTCACTTCTCTTACCTTTGAGCCTTGGAGTTGACAGTGCCAGGACTGCAGAAGTGCAGCAGCATGCCTGGTGTGCAGACGCTCTCACCCAGCAGGGTGTCCACATCCTCCCTTAAATGAGATCTCTGCTGCCTTAGAAACTGGTCAGAGACATGTAAAGTGAAAGTTAAGAAGCCCAAGGACTAGTCTAGTCCATCAGGTGCCCATAACAGCAGACTCCCCAACTTCCATCTGCTATGGCAGCCAGGGCATACTCGGAAGTCCCATTAAGTCTCGGGTGGGTAAATGTCCCATTTCACTGTTTCAAGCAGGCAGGGGTTGTTGAGACTTTCACTAGAAGACAAAGACACACCGTAGGCATGTCTGCACATGGTTCTACTTATTATCCAAACTGGTGTGGGATTGTTGTGATTTACACCTTTGCCTTCAAGCACTGACTTACCCCACTCAAAAATTCCACCAGACCTAGAAAAAAAAATTATTTGTAAAGAAGGAAATATCTTAAATGCCACTTAGCCTTTGTTTACACTGCTCCATTGTGTTTTCTATGATGTGGTGTGCTCAGTTCACCCTGCATAGCCTCTGCTGCACATTGGCATAGACTTGCCACTAACAAATCTCCCAGGCCTTTGTAGCATGGGGATGGAACTTAGGGCCTTCCTTAGGTAAGCATTCTCCACTGGGCTAGAATCCCAGCCCCTAACTTCCTTCAGCCGGAAGACATCGGTGTTGCTAAGTATGGATGGTCTGGAGCGTTGCTTCTTGTACAAAGGGCAGCCTGTAAAATTTGAAACGGTGCAATGGTGCCCTGGACTCGGCACACAGAGAACAAGGGGCAGCTGCTAGTTTGATATGAATTTATCTGAAATCCAACATAGCAAAAGTAAAAACAATACTGTTTCTGCGGGCCTAAGAAAAACCAAAAACAACAAAAAAACCCTGTTCACTGCCTATCCCACCACTAACCTAATGGGACCAAAAGAGCCTGGTGGCCTGCCTTGGGTCCCCTCCACTGAATGTTGGGAATCATTGAATAGATGAGAAGCAGAGGGCCAGCTGCATCTTGTGGCTGCACCCTCAGCTCCATGACAGTTTAATCCTTTGGGTTATGGTAGGTTTTTCCTCCTTGCCTGCAGTAATCTATGCATTTATTAAGTATGTATGAATTTGCGTGTATGCACATGTCTGTGTTAGTACCATGCACACATGTGGAGGACGGAGGTCAACTGAAGCCATGTACCTTGTTTTGGAACAGTGCCCCTCTCAGAGACCCCGGATTCACTGATGGGGCTAAGCGGGCTGGTCAGCAAGTCCCAGGGGCCCTTTCAGCTCCACTTCCCCAGTGCTGGGATTACAAACTCCACCACCATGCCTGGTTTCTCAACGTGGATTCCCAGGATCAAACCTCAGCCTTCATGTTTGTGTGGTAAATGCTTTGTGGACTAAGATCACTTCAGCCCAGTTTTCAATTTTTAAAAAGACATCTCAGGTCCATGTTGCAGATGCTGTCTCTGTAAAGACACCTGCCTATGAAAGCACAGAGACAACAGCACCCAGTTCTTGGGTGCCCAGTACAGGCCACAAAGCCAGGTCCTGGGTACACAGTACAGTTCACAAAGCAAACACAGGTGTTTTAAGATAGTTCCTTTTGACACTTAGCTAGGCTCCGATGTTTTCACACCTGGAGTAACATTCAGAAGCTACTCTTACCGTGTCAATTCAGGCACAATGGCAGGTCACTTTGGCTCTTCATGAAGCTTTTACAATAAATTCTTCAAAGAATGAAGAGTGGGAAGATTTGTTCCTCCCTTAGAGCCCTTTTCCTTTTCCTGAGATTGTTGTCAGGCACACATGATGTAAGACATTCTAAGAAATCAGGGTCGCTCGGGGAGAAACGAGACAGTTCTAACAAACCTCGGTAGAAATGAAGAGACAGATCCGGGGACAGGCTGGGAGGTAACACACTTTTTTTCACAGAGCTGTCATACACAGTGTGACTGTCCTCAGAAGCAGGCATGGGAAACCAGACACCCAACTACAGAAGAAAGCGGGGGTCTTGGCCCGATAGCTTTAATGTCTTTGAATCAAGTGCCTTTTCCAGAATAAGCCAAGGAAGACAAGTCCAGTTTGGTATTTAAGGCTTCAGTCAGCTCTCTGGCCAGTAGCTCATGCAGGGACATGCCGTCATGGGAGTACACCCAGTTCTTCCCAGTCCAGTCATAGCGCTTAGGGCCACTGCAAAACAGAACAAATGCGTGTTAAGTCTGTGCAGACCCTATTTAGGAGAGCCATGGTGTCTGGGCTACATCCTGAGCGCTGGGACCAAAGGTACACACTACCACCACTCGGCTTATCTCTCTCTGAACATAAAGTTGTTTTTTTTTTTTTTTTCTGAGTCAGGGTTTCTCTGTAGTTTTAGAGCCTGTCCTAGAACTATCTCTTACAGATCAGGCTGGCCTTGAACTCGTAGAGATCTGCCTGCCTCTGCCTCCCAAGTGCTGGGATTAAAGGCATGTGCCACCACCGCCCGGCTGAACATAGAGTCTTATTCTATATCTTAGATCTGGATATAGGTGGCCTGGACCTTATTTATAGAGCCAAAGCTGGCCTTTAACTTGTAGCAACTCTCCTGACTCAGACTCCTAAGTATTAGGATTAAGGCAACCACATTTTCTTGCGGGATATTTGATCATACTGTGTGAAAGGTACATTCTAATTGATTTAATAAAGAGCTGAATGGCCAATAGCTAGGCAGGAGAGGATAGGCGGGACTTCCTGGTAGAGATAGGAACTCTGGGAAGAGAAGTGGGATTTGCCAACAAGATGCAGAGTAAGTCAGAGTACAGTATGGAGGAGAGGTAATGAGCCATGTGGCAGAGTGTAGATTAATATAAATGGGTTAATAATGTAAGTTATAAGAGCTATCTGGGGACAACCTTAAGCTAAGGCCAAGCTTTCATACTTACTAAGAAGTCTGTGTCATTATTTGGGAGCTGGCGGTACAAAGAAAGTCCGACTACAACATCTGGCTGGACTGGATCTTAAAGATCCCACTGGGGCCCATGATTAAAAGCTCAGTGGCCAGTCCATGACTCTATTGAAGGTGGTGGGACCTTCATAAGGTCGGGACTAGTGGTGGTTTGTTAGGTCACTGGCAGTGTGATTGGGATCCTATTCCATTTCCCTGTTTCCAGTTGCCAGGGGAGCAGCTTCCTTCCACCATACATCCCATGCCCTGTTCTGTTTTACTATAGGCCCAAAGATGGTGTGAACCAAAACAAATGCCCATCTTTTCAATGGAGAGCTAACAGGATCCACAGAGCTGCCTGCCACGCAGAGACTGACCGACCGCAGCTTTACAGGGGCATGCAGCGAGGTGAACTTCTGATTTCCTCTGTTAGCACCTTCCTAAGGGCAACTGTGCAATCTGCCCTCTGGGAACACTGCAGAGCCTGGCCCCTGTGAGTCTCCTGCAGCTCACTTCCTACCTCTCAGGACACCTGTTATCTTACAGCAATGTTTGGAATATGAGGGTCATTTTGTGCCACTCATGATTTGATCCCAACCTACACTACTGTGTCACTACTAACTCTGTCTAGGTCCAAGACACCCCTATTACCCTGAAAGAAGTCCAAGTACCTACTAACTAGTTACCCTTGCCTCTCCTAGCCTTGGCTATACTTGTGCTATTATTAAAAACTTCGCTGGGCATGGTGGTGCAGGCCTTTAATCCCAGAAGTTGGTAGACAGAGGCTAGAATGGTTTACAGAGTGAGTTCCAGGCCAGTCAGGGATACAAAATAAGACCCTGCCTCAAAAACCAAACAAACCAAACTTACTTCTTTCCATGGGGTCTCATATATCATGTAGCCTCTTGAACATCTCATGTAGCCAAGGATAACCCTGAACTTGCCTATATCTCTCAAGTGCTGGGATTCCTGGCATGTTCCATAATTTCTAGCTAAACACATTTTTCCTTATGAAAAATCAAATCTGTAAAATCAAGAGCTTCGTCAGTGCATCCCCATACACCACCATGATCTGTTGCTGTGTCTACTCTATTCTCCAGGCCATAAAGAAGAAGAATTTGGAACATGGTTTTATGTGACATCCTAATACTGTCAGCTTTAAGAGGTGTGATTTAGATCACTGGGGATGTGTCCACAAGGGAATGCGGGACCCTGTCTAATCTTTCTGGGTTTCCCATCATGAGGTAGGACATTGTTCCTATGCATACTCCTACCACGGTATGCCACTGTATAAAAAGCCAAACTGATGTCCTTCACATGCCTTCAATCTTGGACTTTGAGCTTCCAAAACCATGAGACAAATAATCCTTTCCCATTTTATGAGTAACCGGCTCAGTTGCTTAGTTGTAGCAACATGAATCTGGTTACCACACAGTATTGTGGACAAAGCTGTAGCTGTTTCCCCTCACCATGATTTGTTACTCCAGGCTGACATGACCCATGTCTCAAATTCTACCTCCTCATGGCCTGGAGAACAGAGCAGAGAGAGCAACAGACCATGATGGTGTATGGGGACGCCCTGATGAAGGCAACAGAGAACCCTGAGAGTTCACGATCTGGGACCCCAAAGTCTACCTAGAACACTCAAGAGAGAACTTTCAAAGACAGGCTAGAAGAGTGGGGATCTAGCTCAGTGGTAGAGGGCTTGTCCTGTCCCAGAATGTGCGATTCATTGTTAGACCCCCAGCACCACGAAAACCAGAAGAAGACTGAGGTGGGAAGGCAGCCTCCTGGGGTGGAGGGAAAGATGTGAAGTGTCTTATGTAGGTACAAATGTATGGAGCCTTTTAATATTGGCAAGGAAATGTTGGAATTTAAACATGCGCCAACAGTACAGAAAAAAAGGGCCAAAAAATGGGCAGAGCTTCTGCTTAAAGAACAGAAACCTCTGAACACAAACTACCTGGGCCACATTAAAGCAAAACAGAACCAGCAGCTGGGCACTGGTTGTGCAACCTTTAATCTAGCACTCGGGAGCAGAGGAAGGCGAACCTCTGTGAGTTTGAGAACAGCCTGGTCTACAGAGCAAGTTCTAAAATAGCCAGGGTTACACAGAGAATCCCTGTCTCCTCTTCCTCCTCCCCCAAGACAAACAAAAACAAAAACACAAGAAACAAAACCAGAGGAAAGCAATATTGTAAGATGATTGTTATTAGGTGTTTCTATAGTTGAATAACAATGACATTAGGTGTTTCTATAGTTGAGTAACAACGATGATTTTTCATGTTCCTTTGGTCCTGGCGTTCCCACAGCATTCTTCTACCCTAGCCTATGATCCTATGGCAAAGTGGCCAGAAAACACCACTCTCTCCATAGGACCTCAGCAGTTTCCTGCTGAGGTAAGAAATTATAACCATGGCCCAGTGAAAGATATTCTGGTTAATATGAAATTACTTCTGAGGGAGGGGGCTGGAGAGCTGGCTCAGTGGTTCAGAACAAGCTGCTCTTCCAGAGGACTGGTTTGACTTCTTGTACCACACTGGGCTGCTTGTGACTTCAGTTCCGGGGAACCTGACTCCCTCTTCTGGCTGTGGGCATGGGCACTCACCCACACCTACACCCATCAACACATAAATAAAAATACCCCCACCCTTCTCCATCCCCCTTGAAAGCAACACAGCACCGTGAGGAAGGACCACTTAGGAGATTTCCCCTCCACGTCCCTCATATAAAGCGCAGGTTTAAAAAAGTGTTTACTTGGAGTCTCTGTAAGTGATTAATTTCCCCATGGTGTATGTGAGCTGCCTGACACGAGTGCCGGGATTTGAACTCTAGTGCTTGTGCTTAAGTAGCAAGTGCTTGCAACCACTGAGCCACCTCTCCAGCCTCCTCGATATGGTTTTTGCTTGCTCGTGTGTTTACTGTGGTGCTGGGAATCCAACCTAGAGCCTTCTCTCATACGCTAGGCCAGTTCTTTGCCTACCCTGAGCCATACCCTGGCACATTTTCAGTTTTTTAAACTGCCAATACCATTAGGCTTTCAAAGAATTACACACTGGTTCTAGCTGAGCTTTCCCACTTTGCCTTCAAAATGTCTTCTTTAGTAGTGCTGCTGAGTTTCAACAAGGTTAGTGTGAAGGCTCTGGGCGAGCATCTGTGCGTGAGCATCTCCGCGCGAGCATCTCTGTGAAGCATCTCCGCGAGAGCATCTCTGTGAGAACATCTGTGCGCGAGCATCTCTGTGAGAACATCTGTGCGCGAGCATCTCTGTGAGAACATCTGTGCGCGAGCATCTCTGTGAGAACATCTCCGCGCGAGCATCTCTGTGAGAACATGTCCGCGCGAGCATCTCTGTGAGAGCATCTCCGCGCGAGCATCTCTGTGAGAGCATCTCTGCGAGAGCATCTCTGCGAGAGCATCTGTGCGTGAGCATCTCTGCGAGAACATCTGTGCGCGAGCATCTCTGTGCGAGCATCTCTGTGTGAGCATCTGTGCGCGAGCATCTCTGCGAGAGCATCTGTGCGCGAGCATCTCTGCGTGAGCATCTGTGCGCAAGCATCTCTGTGTGAGCATCTGTGCGCAAGCATCTTTGTGTGAGCATCTGTGCGCAAGCATCTGTGCACTAGCATCTCTGTGAGAGCATCTCTGCAGAACCATCTCCGAGCAAGCATCTCTCAGCCCTTTTCAGAACACTGCAGCAGGCAGCTGTATGCTTACTAGTAAGCTCTCGGTTCTGAGACCTGGGCTGCCTGCAGTGCACCCCACTGTTCCTTCAACTTTAGGCACATCCATGGGGCAGGCAGGAAGATGGGGACCCTGGAGCTGCTGCTAGAAAGTCACTGTCCCCACTGCCACAAAGTCTGGATCTAACTCTGACAACAGAATTACTGAGACCTTCAAAACTGGCTGGGAGTTAAAGTTTAACTAACTTTGAGGACAAAGTGCACGTTTTTCAGATGCTACAAAATAGAAAGTTCCTCCCTCTCTTTTTCCCTCCTTCCCTTCCGCTTTGGGAATGGAATCAGGATCGCCAAACAAGCATTCTTATTACTGAGATATACACCCCAGCCTTCAAAGTAGCTTTTTAATTAACTTTTTTTATAAAAAAAAAAAAGTGCCGCCGTATGTAACAAAAGTAGCTTATGGATAGCCCTGGCTGTCCTGGAACTCACTATATAGACCAGGTTGGCTTATTTGCTTTTGTGACAGGGTCTTACATGATAGCCCAGTCTAGCCTTAGACTGGGCTAGGCACTTTGAGCTACTCCCTCTACTTCCTGAGTGCTGAATTACGGATGTATAACACTATAACTGGCAAAAGTATCTCTTTCAAAGGCAAGTCAAGTGGTTTTTCTTTTCTGGGCAATGACATAACAGAGAAAAACCGTCTGGGCGAAGTTCCGAATAGTTCCCTATTTCCGGTCTTGTCACCATCCTGATGCCTGAGGACAGCAACCAAGTTATCAATGGGGAGAAACATTCAACTGGAAGGGAGCCTTCCTACTGGGGCAGACAGTTATAAATTCAGGGCAAAGCCAGTGATGGACAGCCTTTCAAGTGGTCCCCAATGCGTATTTCCAAAGAGTCCACCCCTAACAGACATTGACTTCCCAACATACCTGGAGGGAGAAGATAACCAGATTTGCTTGTTTGGAGTCTGCTTGTTGATCACGTAGGTCCCTAGATCCCCGCCCAGTTTAATGGTTAGCACGCCGCCCTAGGGTGTCAGGGGGAAGAAAGTGTGAAGAAAATAAACGAGGTTAGTTAGCACAAGAACAAATATATAAAAATATTTTTCATGTCTCAATGCCTTTCATGTATCCAAGGATGTAACACACACCATAACAAACAAGGGATCTGGGGATGCCATGCTCTGGCAATGTGTTCAGGAACTGGGAAGCCCCCCCGTTCAATTCTTGGAACCAAAACCAAACAAAAATTAGGGCTCACAATTAGGAATGTGTGTGGTAAAGACATTATCATCAGGATCAGAGTGGATTGTTTTACTTTTACTTATAGACATAAGTTGTTGCCCTCGGAGGCCAAAGACACACAGGACCCCCAGCAGCTGGAGTTAAAGGTACCCGTGAGCCACCTGATGTGCTGTGGGTGCTGGGTTACAAACCCTGGTTCTCATGAGAGAGTAGCAAGCTCTTAGCCACTGAGCCGCCTCTGAGGCCACCACAGTGGGTTAGGTATAACACTTGAAGCTCACACTGCTTTCTCTCTGCCTGTGTGGTCGGCAAGGAAAGAAAGGTTAAGACTTGCCTGAGAACTCAGCAATGGTAAACCGGACCGCTAGCTTTCTGCCCTCCACCGCCAATCAGAACACATGCAAACGCAGACTAAACTGTAATGGTGTCTGCCCAGGTATCATACCTGACAAGTCCATTAGGAAAACACAGAAGGAAAGCGGGAGTGGTGGCAAAAATCTCTAACGTCAGTGCTTGGGAGGCTGAGGGGAGGGGGGGCTTGCGAGTTTGAGGCTAGCAGGCTGCACAATAAAATGCAAAAGAGAAAAAGGCAAGAGAAGAAAGTAATCAATACTCTGCCTCTTTTGTCTTAGAAGAGCAGGCGGGGACAGCCCTAGCCTATTTGTGTTATTCAGACATCTTCCCAGGCATCCAGCAAATGTTCAGAGAATCCACCAGACTTCATTTACCCCTGAAAAGCCTTGCATCCTCAAAAGACTGGCCAGTCCATTTTGTTCAAGAGATGAACATTTAAATTTGAAAACACCCAACAAAGGAGCTCTCTACTCTCCAGGCCTTAGTCTCTTTAGAACAGAAACAACGGCCGAGCACTAAGTACTCTCAAAGTTCCCTATGCTGCTTGGGGCTGGTAAGCAGGTGGGAGCCCACTGCACCAACCAGCGCTTGCTCCCTACTTTGCCCAGTGCTCATCCAATCAGGAGTCTTGACGTGGTTCTCACAACACACCCTTACAAACACAGGCAGCCATTTAAATAAATGCTAGAGGCTGGCTCCATAATAATGTAACCAATAGGTATGGGAGGGGCATGCTAGTGATATCTCTCTCTCTCTCTCTCTCTCTCTCTCTCTCTCTGTCTCTCTCTCTCTCTCTGAGATAGAGTTTCACTAGGCAGCCCAGGCAGGCAACAAACTTGTAATACCCGGGCCTCAGTCTCCCAAGTGCCAGGATGATAGGCATGTGCCACTATGTCCAGCTTCTCTCTCTCTCCTAAAATAACATGTGTCTTTTTTTCTTTAAAGATTTATTTATGAGTGCTCTATCTGCATGTATAATTTTATACCAGAAGAAAGCATCAGATCCCACCACAGCTCTCAGACCCATAAAATAATATGTGTTTTTCCCCTGATTAAAACAAAATAACAAAGCTGGGCAATGGTGGCACATGCCTTTAATCCCAGCACTCAGAAACTCTGTGAGTTCGAGGCCAGTCTAATCTATAAAGCAAATTCCAGGGCAGGCCCCAAAGCTACTGAGAAACCCCATCTCGAAAAACTAAAAACCAAGCCAAACCAAACCAAAACAACCCAAACAAACAAAATAACAAACAAACAAAAAATAAGGACCAAATCTGTGGCTCAGTTGGGAGAGTGCTTGGCTATGATGTACAAAGCTCTGGGCCCCATCCCAAGGTGCTTCAGGCTTTGTAATCTCAAGTCTCAGAAGATTGAAGATCAGAAATTCAAGGTCACCCTTGGCTACACTCCAGTTTGAAGTCAGCTTGGGCAACATGAAACCCACCTAAAAACAAAAACAAGAAAAACCACAGAGTGGTAGTAACACACACCTTTAATCCAGCACTTGGGAGGCAGGGACAGGCAAATCTCTCTGAGGTTTTTTTTTTTTTTTTTTTTTGGTTTTTCGAGACAGGGTTTCTCTGTGGTTTTGGAGCCTGTCCTGGAACTAGCTCTTGTAGACCAGGCTGATCTCGAACTCACAGAGATCCGCCTGCCTCTGCCTCCCGAGTGCTGGGATTAAAGGCGTGCACCACCACCGCCCAGCAAATCTCTGTGAGTTTGAGGCCAGCCTGGTCTACAAAGCGAGTTCCAAGACAGTCAGTACTGTTACACAGAAAAGTTCTGTCTTAAAAAACCAAAACCCAACCAACCAACAAACAAACAAGTTATACCAAACCAGTCCCCAGACCAAACCCACAAAAGTTCCCGACAGAGAAGTAGGGGATGCACGTATAATAAACAGAGCAAGGCCCTCAGTAGACACACTAGTTCCCCTACACTTGGATCCTGGTGTAGGCCAGGATCTGTGTCTGAACACTTGTGGGAACTGTTTTCAACTAGACCACAGCTGTGGAGGAAGTCATCACTTTCTCAGTTTTACAAAAGAGGTTCAGGTCAGAATGGCTAAAATAAAAACCACCAATGATAGCCTTTGCTGGAGAGGTTGTGGAGAAAGGGGTACACTCACCCATTGCTGGTGGGAATGCAAACTTGTGCAACCACTCTGGAAAGCAGTGTGGCGGTTTCTCAGGAAATTCGGGATCAACCTACCCCTGGACCCAGCAATACCACTCTTGGGAATATACCCAAGAGATGCCCTATCATACAACAAAAGTATATGCTCAACTATGTTCATAGCAGCATTGTTTGTAATAGCCAGAACCTGGAAACAACCTAGATGCCCTTCAACGGAAGAATGGATGAAGAAAGTATGGAATATATACATATTAGAGTACTACTCAGCAGTAAAAAACAATGACTTCTTGAATTTTGCATGCAAATGGATGGAAATAGAAAACACTATCCTGGGTGAGGTAAGCCAGACCCAAAAAGAGGAACATGGGATGTACTCACTCATATTTGGTTTCTAGCCATAAATAAAGGACATTGAGCCTATAATTAGTGATCCTAGAGAAGCTAAATAAGAAGGTGAACCCAAAGAAAAACATATAGACATCCTCCTGGATATTAACCTTTATCAGGCGATGAAAGGAGACAGAGACAGACAGAGACAGAGTCCCACATTGGAGCACCGGACTACAACCAGAAGGTCCAAATCAGGAACAGGAGAGAGAGCACGAGCAAGGAACTCAGGGCCATGAGGGGTGCACCCACACACTGAGACAATGGGGATATTCTTTCGGGAACTCACCAAGGCCAGCTGGACTGGGTCTGAAAAAGCATGGGATAAAACCGGATTCACTGAACGTAGCGGACAATGAGGACTGCTGAGAAGTCAAGAACAATGGCACTGGGTTTTGATCCTACTGCACGTACTGGCTTTGTGGGAGCCTAGGCAGTTTGGATGTTCACCTTACTAGACCTGGAAGGAGGTGGGAGGTCCTTGGACTCCCCACAGGGCAGGGAACCTGGTCTGCTCTTCGGGCTGATAAGAGAGGGGGAGTTTATTGGGGGAGGGGGAGGGATATGGGAGGCAGTGGCGGGGAAGAGACAGAAACCTTTAATAATAATAAAAAAAAAAAGTTCAGAGCCACAAGACCACAACAAAATATCAGCAACCAGTGGAGTTGATCTCAAGTGCAGAGCTGCTTGTGCTCAAAAATATCGTTCTCCTGGAGTAGGCAACCCCTCACCCTCCTGAATCTTCATCCTTAGCTGGGAGTTTATATACATTCTCTCTTTTATCTTTGGCAAAAACAACATTACGCTTGCCTATAACCAATTCACACAGTACAGCAGTATTGAGTATATTCACACTGTTGCTCTAGGGCCATTCAGAAATCTCTGCACCTGGCAAAACTGAAATTCCCTCCAAACACTGTGTACACTGGATGCTAATTCCCCCATCCCAGCCACCCCTCAGCTCCCGGCTCTTCATCCAAGATTACAGTTTCATGCCTCCCCCTAGGGGCTAACAGACTCAGTAAAACCACACACCTCTGACTCACCTATCCATGGTCGATAAATGCCCCCTGTGTGTTCCACCTTCACGCTGAGGTTTGGTGGCCTAGAAGAAATGCCAAGGGCTGCCTGACTCTCCAGATGGACTTCCGAGTTCACTGTCCTTCCTAGTTAGTCAGGGCCCTGCAGAAGTCGCATCATTTCGGCCTGGCACTCAGCATCTGGTTACCTCCTCAAGGACTCAGCTCAAGGACTTCACACCTGCACCTGGTCACTACTACAGTGAGTGACCATACCAGGGACAGCCCACTCAATCACATCGTCCTCAGTTTACTCCCCAATCTTTGGAGGGATCCCGGAGTGCACATGAACTAAAAAGATGTGCGTTCCCCAAACAACCAAGGGAAAACCAGCCATGGGAGACCCAGCTCCACAGTGCTCTAGCTTTCTTCTGGAATCTTCCTGGGGGCCCCTCTTGCTCCAGGACCTGTGCAGGTGCCTCTGGGAAGGTTATCTGGGGCTTTCCACTTGGCAGAGTTTCTGTAACCTCTCCTGCTTTAACTACTTCGGCACGACTTGCAGGCGAAGGAGACTGTTGTCCCCTCGACCCCATGTCTACTATCTTGAGTCCCTAGGAAGAAGCGACTCAGGTGGCACCTACATGCTTCCGCCCAAACCCAGGATGGATGTAGAAGTATTCATTACATTTTCGGGTGAATGGACCAGTGTGGAAACAGTGACCAAAGGGACCCTGTGGTACTGTCTGCCAAAGCGAAGTGTTCCCAAGGCAGAGATCACAAAGCTCAGGTTCCTTCTTTCAGCCTCCTTACTGTGACTGGACTCTTTCCCCAGGGCCTCCAGCTATTCCAGAGGACAGTGGCAGGACGGAATGCGCCAGCAGCTGTGCTGGCTTACCAGGGGTCTTAAGACATTTAGAACTGTCTCCAAGTTTTCAGCTCCCTACTGTGGTCCGTTAGCCAACGTGTGCACATTTATGGGCAGGGAGGGGACTGTATTACTCACACTTTCCCAGCTGTGACAAATAAAACCTCAAGGGAAGATTTACCCTCGCTTACAGTGTACGGGTGGCTGCTGCGGTGTTTCTGGCCTGTGGCACGGCACAGCACCACACAGCAGAAGGGTGTGGTGGGGGACCTGCTCCTCAAGGCAGCCAGGAAGCAAACTGGAGAGGAGAGAGGCCAGGGATAAGGGATGTCTTTGAAGACGTGACTCCAGAGACCCACTTCTTCCTTCTTCCCAGTCTCCACCCCTCCCAAATTCTCCACTGTTCCCACCCACAACAGTCCTCTGATCACAAATCCATCAGCAAAACAATTCTTCAGTTAGGTTGGGGCCTCAGCTCCAATCACCTCAGTGACACCACCAGCTGGGAGCCTGGCCTTCAACCCAAGTCTCTGTGGGGCACCCAGACCAAACCACAAAGGAGCTAAACAAAATACCCAGCAATGGCTAAGGCGCAGGGACCAATCGGAGGAGAGCCTCACACCAACCAACCAACCAACCAGAGCAGAACCAGACCCAGCTGGCTAGGATTACTGTTCTGTGCCTGTGAAGATTAGCGCTGCCCCTGCAGGAACAAAGACTGTTGTCACCTGGTCATCTGTGGAAACAGGCACACGGGAGATGTCATGTTGAGCCAGGGACCTTCACATGCATGTGACTTCTAGTTAAATAAAATAATAAATTTGAAAGTTTTTTATTTTATTTTTTACCATTTCCCCCTTATCATTTTGACAACCATCTGCCCTACATAATCCTAAGATTTACTCCAAAATGCACACTCATGACATTTCCTGGTATTAATTAATTGCTGTCAAGAGGATTAACCTCCATCTGTATTGAGATGGTGGTGGAGGAGGGGGGAATGGGTAAGAAAAGGAGTAGGGAACATTTTTCTCCCGTGGTAAAAGGCCCAAGCAGACCCTTACTTAGTCTGCCACCTGGTGGCCAGCATGAAAACTTCCCTAGCGCCCAGTGGCTGGGTAAATGCTCATGTAATTCAAAGTTCTCAGCCTATCATGGGGACGATCTGCAAATTCAATTCCTTACCTAGAGCACACGACGCACTAATTAAATCAAAATTTCTAGAAGTTGAACTCAGGGCTACATCAGAATTCCAGGTGAGCCAGGGTGTGGTGGTGCATGTTTAGTTCCGGTGGATCCTCAAGGCCAGCCTGGTCTACACAGCGAGTTCTGGGACAGCCAAGGCTACACAGACAGACCTTGTCTCAAACATGGGCTGCTTCTTATGGTAGAGTGGAGCAAGCTTGGGCCACGTATGGAGGAGTCTGGACTACCAGGACAACTGTCCAAGGTTGGAACCTGGTCCTCTGCTTTTTATTCTTCAATACTAGTGACTGAAGCCAGAGCTTCACCCAGGGTGGGTAAAGAGCTCTTTCCCTAACTGCGCACCACAAGATACCCACCCCAGCCCTGGTAATCTGTGTTTTTTTTTTTTTTTTTTTTTAGAGTAATAATTCTTGGGCATGGCAGTGGTGGTGCACACTTTTAATCCTAGCACTTGGGAGGCAGAAGCAGGTGGATCTCTATGAGTTCGAGGCTAGCTCCCCAGAACTGGCTCCAAAGCTACTGGGAAGCCCTGTCTCAAAAAACCAAAAAAAAAAAAAAAAAAAAAAAAAAACCTTTAAATAATTCTTTAAGATCTGTTTATTATGTATGTACAGTGTTTTGCCTACATGTACGCTTGCATGCTAGAAGAGGGCACCAGATCTCATTATAGATGGTTGTGAGCCAGTGATTGGGTGCTGAGAATTGAACTTAGGACCTCTGGAAAAGCAGCCAGTGCTCTTTTTTTTTTTTTGCTTTCTCAAGACAGGGCTTCTCTGTAGCTTTGGAGTCTGTCCTGGAACTCGCTCTGCAGAGCAGGCAGGCTGCCTTTGCCTCTTGAGTGCTGGGATTAAAGGTATGTGCCACCACCACCCAGCTCGTGCTCTTAAACTCTGAGCCGGCTCTCCAGCCCAGGAATCTGTATTTAAATGCAAGAGGTTCAGGGAGGTAGAGTGACTTGTCCAAAGTCACATGAATCCTAGATTTTTTTTTTAAATATTTATTTATTTATTATGTATACAGTATTCTATCTGTGTGTATGCCTGCAGGCCAGAAGAGGGCACCAGACCTCATTACAGATGGTTGTGAGCCACCATGTGGTTGCTGGGAATTGAACTCAGGACCTTTGGAAGAGCAGGCAATGCTCTTAACCACTGAGCCATCTCTCCAGCCCCATGAATCCTAGTTTTTAAGCCCCAACCACAATCTATGTTACTAGATGGTTATGCCCATTGGAGGTTATTTTATAAACTCCGTATTATTATTTTTTAAATTTACTTGTTATTCTGAATGTGTGTATGAGGAGTGTGTGTCCACTTGCATGCCAAGGTGTGGATTAGTTTCTTCCACCGTATGTGGGTTCTAAGACTTCACCTGAGGTTATCAGGTTAGGAGGGGCAGCAGTATTACCTACTGAGCCCTTCACTAGTATCCTTGTTTTTTTTGAGACTGAGTATCACTATGTAGTCCTGGGTGGTCTGGACCTCACTGTGCAGACCAGGCTAGCCCTGAACATTCAGTGATCCTCCTGTATCTACTCTAGAGTGTAGAGTTATACCTGTGTGCTACCTTGCCTGCCTGGGGGGCATTCTCTTGTTTTAGTTTCAATTGTGTATATGTGATGCTTCTTTTGTTGTTGTTGTTGTTCGTTTAGTTTTTCTTTTTCTTTCTCTTTTTTTGAGACAAGTTCACACTTAGCCTGGGCTCCCTTCAACTTTGCTAAATTACTGAAGATGACCTTGAATTTGTAATCCTCCTGCCTCCACCTCCTGAGTGCTCGGATTATAGGCTGTGCCACTATGCTCAGTTGTAAGCTGTGCTAGGGGCCAAAACCAAGGCTTTGTGTATGCTAGGCAAGCATTCTACCAACTGAACTACATCTCCAGCCTAAGTTACAGGATTTTTTTTTTTGTTTGTTTATTTGTTTGGTTGTCCTGGAACTTGCTCTGCAGACCAGGCTGGCCTGGAACTCAGAGATCGATCTGCTCGCCTCTGCCTCCTGAGTACTAGGATTAAGCACTAAGTTATAGTTTTTAAGAAGGGAACAAAAACTCAAAAAGCCAAAAGGTACCCCAAAAGAGACGTCATAGTCCTCCAGGGTATAGGGCTTGTCTGCAAGGTCTTCAAAGAACTCTGCCAGGGCGTCCAGCGTCTCCTCCGCAAGTCTTTCATAAGCTGTCTCGTCTAGAGAGCTGCAGGAGGAAAGAAACCCACCAGAGCGTTGTCAGCAAACACACAATCACAATAAATACATACAAAACGAAAAAAAAAAAAAAGCCTTCCAGCAGAAGTAAGCAGCTAGCAACACGGAGTGCAGGTGAGACAAAAACCACCAGGGTTCACGACAGCCCTGCTGGGCCAGCCACCCTGATACTCTGAGCCTCTTTTCTGGTTAGTACCAAGATCATGTATCAACTTTTATTTTTGTCTTGTCTTGAGATGGTCTAGATACATCGTCTTTTTTTTTTTTTAAAGATTTATTTATTATGTATACAGTATTGTGTCTGCCTGCAGGCCAGAAGAGGGCACCAGATTTCATTACAGATGGTTGTGAGCCACCATGTGGTTGCTGGGAACTGAACTCAGGACCTTTGGAAGAGCAGGCAGTGCTCTTAACCACTGAGCCATCTCTCCAGCCCTCGATACATAGTCTTAATAGGCTTCAAGCACACAGCAACACTTGGGCTTGCCTCAGACTCATGAGTGTTGACATTACAGTCATGAGCCACAACACTTAGCTTTTCTCATTCATTTACTTTTCGATTATATTTTTATTATTTCTTTTAAACTGAGGATTCAATGTATTTATTTTTTAAATGATTTGTTTATTTTTATTTTATATGCATGATGCTTTGCCTGTGTGTATGTTTGTATGAGGGTGTCAGATTCCTTGGAACTAGAGTTACAGACAGTTGTGAGCTGCCATGTGGGTGCTAGGCATTGAACCTAGGTCCTCTGAAAGAATAGCTATTCAGTTGGAACGTCCAACGAGCTCATTAGTAGGTTCTGGGAGCTGAGGAAGGGAGGGATGGACCCTGACTAATGAAGGCCACAGTCTGGAATCATGAACATTTCCTGGAATTAGACAGTGGTGGCAGCTGTAGAAGCTGGTGAACACTAACACCTCTGATGACTTTTATGGCATTTGAGTTATGAGAATAAACTCCTGCTGCACTGGGAAGTGGCTCAGAGCTAGATATGAATGCACCGCGTATAAGGGCCTGAGTTCTGTCCCCAACAACAAAACAAAAGAAGATACTGCTGTAACAGTCTTCCTTCCGGGGGCTTCTGTGCCTCAGCAAGGGTATGTGCTGCTTATCAGATGGTTCACTAGATGGCTCCATTATCCAAAAGGTTCCCAGGGACCCACAGAAGCTGCTGGTTGCTAATGGTATCTAATCCATCCTTTACCCAGCCTACCCCACTGCTGGGGTAAAACAGGGGACAGGCTATGAGACTGACCAGAATGGTCGGAGCTGTAACTAAAGACAGCGATTTATCTGGTAGACTGTGACGGACATTTCGAGGGTGAATGGAGAGAGTGAAGAAGAAAGGTGGGTTGGGGTGAATGAAGACTTCTAAGGACAGTTGGAATGGTCTTTAAAAACACTTACATTTATTTATTATTCATTAGGGTCTTTATATGCAGACAGCATGGCATGCATGCGGAGGTAGAGAATAACTGTGGATCAGTTCTCTATCTCTGCCTTCCCATGTGTTTCAGAGATCAAACTCAGGTTGCCACGCTTGTACAGTAAGTGCATTTAGCCACTGAGCCATCTTACTGGCCCAGGCGGGATCTTCTTCTGTATGGCGGCTCCGTATCATTTTTTAGGAGGTGCAAAGGTGGGAAATAGTAGGAGACAACTGACCTGCTTGTAAGAGGATGGAAGGAAGGAGGCGGCCGACTCTGGGATTAACAGTTGCCTAAAGATGGAGGAGTCAGAGGGGGAATCTAAGCCTTGGAACACCAAAGGCTTCTGGTGAGCCAAAATGGGGTGTGGATGTGTGTGTGAGGTGAGGCAGGGGGAGTGCAACTCTGCTGCACGAACCAAACTCAGGGCATTATGAGCATCACTGCTGGATACGACCTCGGGGACCCGCCCTTCATGCAGAGAGCTGGGCATGGAGGGGTGCAAAGGAATAAGGCAGCTTCCAAGTAGGGAGACATCGGGGTAAAGGTGTGCATACTGGGCTGAGAGTAAGTAGTCAAGAGCTTCTAGATGTTTCAGAGAAAATCCATTACAAAAAAGGCTGTCCTAAAATAGTCACTGGACCCTTAAAACAGCTTTTGGAAGCAGGGTATTGTTACCAGACAGTGGGCTCTGATGACTGCTTGCCCTCAAGGAGAGCGTGCTTCCCACTGCCTGCCCTCCTTACATCAGAAAGGATGATGGGCAATGGGTTCACCCAAGGCAGAGCTTATCCCAGGTTGCCAAGCAGATAACCACCGTGGCCAAAGGCTGCAATGAAGCTATTCTCTCAGTGGGAGTTATTCTTCTGGTTATCTTGCCTTTTGCCATTATAGGGTGAATGTGAGTGTGTGTGTGCGCGCGCGCATGTGTGTGTGTTAGAGAGAAAGGGGGAGAGAGACAGAAAAAGGAGAAGGAGAAAGAAATACAGACAGACATACACAGGGAACATTCCTATAGCAGGCTTTGAGGTTTCTTTTCCTCAAGCTTCCCTCAGTGTGACAGTGAGCTGCCTTTCTGTTGTCTGCAAGATGTAGGACTCTCAGCTCCAGCACCACGTCTGCCGGCACGCTGCCACGCTCCCCTTCATGATCATAATGGACAGAACCGCTGAACTGTAAGTGAGCCACCCCAGTGAAACATTTTCCCTTCTAAGAGTTGCCGTGGTCACGGTGTCTCTTCCCAGCAATAGAAGAAACTCTAAGCCAGCTTTCCTCAACTAGGACGCTGGAGGAAATAACAAAGCTCTGGGGAAAAAACCCAAACATTCAACAACAGGGATGAACAACAGGAAGTCTGGGATACCCACACAGAAACACTAGTCACTAAAAGATGCTCAGTGCCGTGGAACGGTGTCACTAAGGGTCATTCCCAGGCAGAAGACAGTTTCTACATAGGGAGAGACGCCTGAGCTGCACGGTGTTTTCATCTCACCTTGGATTGTTCAAAGTTCCCGAGTTCCTCAAATGCACCATGCGGACACTCTGCTTTTTGATGTTCAGAATCTGATTGAGGTAGTGGAGGTTCAAATTCTAAAAGGCAAAGTTAAGAACATTAGTGACCGCATCTCCGTCTACTCTAGTCCAGCAATACAGAATCTACAGACTGGCACTTCTAGATTCACAAGTAGTCACAAGATAGCACCCCAGGGACAGTCCTTAAGATTTGTCCCCCATCAACCCCTAGTGTTTTCCTATGGATCTTCCCAGCCTCTCTGCTAAGCCTGTGCTATCTGATAGGATAGTCATGAGACACAGGGAGCTCTCTATGAAGCCTTGGCTGGCCTGGAACCCTGTAGACCAGGCTGGCCTTAAATTTACAGAGATCCACCTGTCTCTCTGCCTCCCAAATGCTGGGATTAAAGGTGTGCACCACCACTGCCTGGCTATGGAGCTCTCTGAATTTATTGAGATAAAACAGAATTTGGTCCTCAGCTGTGCTGGAGACATCTCAAGTGGCTATGGCTGTATAGCACCAGACAGATCATCTCCCCCATGATGGTGCTGCGGCAAGTGCTCAGATTTGGTGGCTCACCAGAGACAGGGTAGCATCCCAGGATCCCTAGAATTTGACTTTTAAAAAAAGCACCAAAAAAAAAAAATGGTAAGAGGCAGAATTCTGCTTAAGTTTCAAACAAGAGCTGACTCGCTGCATTTGACATACCACACCAGCAAGGTGTGACCTGTTGATTTTTCTTTGTTCCTAACTGCTGGGCACTGGGCAAGGGGATGTGTGTTGATTATGACCAGATGAGATTGAGTCGAGAGCCAGAGAAAAGTGGTGTAGTCTTAGCTGATGTGGCAGGTGTGTGAGGGTGGGATGGGGTGGGGAGAGGTGATGGAGGGAGGCAGAGGTGGCCACAGGGGCCCTGAAATACTCATCATGACTTCATTCTGGCAAGACAAGAAGTCTTAATGTTAAGACTTACTGCCTCAAAATGCCACTCTGGTTGCTATCAAAGGGTCAGAGATAGTTACCGCTCTTTTGAGCGTTGACTGTGGTGAGCTCAGAAAAGAAGACAAGGGCTCAGGGCTGGAAATGAGCAGAGGTAGGACGCGGGAGGCAGCATGTTTCGAAGTAGTGACGACAGCATTGATAACCACCTCTCCAGCTACCTCATGTCCTACAGTATTCTCTACCTGCCAGGCACTGCTCGGTCTTTAGTTGACCGGACATGGAGTCCTCATTATAACCCCATGAGGGAAGGACTTCATTGACAGCAGCCATTTAAAAAAATACTTATTTTTTATTTTGTATGTGCACCTAAGTAGATGGGTGTACGCAACATGTGTACAGGTACCTTGGAGGAGAAGAGGTCATCTGATCTCCTTTAACTGGAGATATAGAAAGCTGTAAGCTGCCTTCTATGGGTGCTGGGAATCAAACTCAGGTCCTTTCTAAGAATAGCAAGTGTTCTTGAATGCTGAGCCATCTCTCCAGCCCCTACTCCGTCATCATCAAGAGGGGGTAGCCCTGTAAATGCTGCACTTGTTCCTAGGGACTCGGGTTGGGAGCCTGCAAGTTTCAGGGTCATGATCATCAAAGGGTTGATGCCCAATCTTGTTTGGCATGTGTTTCTGTTTAAAGACATTTTATTTAACATATATTATTGATTTATTGATATTGAACTTGAAGCAATAGCGCTTGCAACTCATGCTGGAGTGGAACAGAGCTGACACATGTTCTTTGTAAAGCATGTCACAGTCTCACTGTGTTTACTGTGGCTCTAGGCTTGGGGACCACTTTCAACCAACAAAATCGCCAAGAAGTACATAAAAGTGAAAAAAACCGCATCACTGAACAGACAACGTCTGCTCACACCGAGACAGTGAGAGCAAGTAGGGCAACGTCTCATGGGGCCACTGGGAACACCCTCCATGACTCTGGAGCATTTTGTCGCTCTGCAGCCTTCCCGATGACTGCCAGAGCACCATGGCAGATAACTAGGGACAAGAAACGTTAGTGAGCCAGTGAGGACCGAATCTGAGGATAAAGACGGACTGTATTCGTGTTTTACAGGCGAGGAAACTGAGATGCCAAAGAGGAAGTTGCTCAGGCTCACAAGGATGCAGGGATTCAAAGTGCACAACTTGGAACTGGGGCCCAGCTGCCAGGAGTCAGGCAAAGGAAGAAAGACCTCGCTGGGAAGCAGAACAGGGCTGAAAACATTCGGGACAGTATTTGAGAAAGCGGGATGGATGGATGGTGTGTGTGTGTGTGTGTGTGTGTATGTGTGTGTGTGTGTGTGTGTGTGTGTGTAGGTGTCCCAGGTCCTGCCCTTCAAATCCTAGCTGTCTCTCTCATGCCGTCTCACTTCTGCTTGTTTTGAAATTTTCTTTCAGTATTAAGAAATGAAGCCAGGACCTCTCGAACGCTAAGTGACGACCTCACTACTGACCTACACGACGAGCCCTGTTTTGTTTTTATTTTTAAAGACAGACTCTCATGTATCCCAGGCTGGGTTTGAACCCGCAGACAGTACTAATCGGCACCTATTCCACCTTTTCCACAGCTCTTCTTTTTCCTGGAATGCTTCCCCAGCCCCCTCCTTTGGCAACTATCTCGTCCCTCTATGAGAAGCCCTCCTTAACCCCACCGCTATTCTTTGAGCGTTCTCTTTTCAGGCCGTGGAGTAATCGATTCTGTTCTTTGCATGGTCAAGGAACTGAGAAGTTATCATAAGTGCTAAAGCCTTTGCGAAAAACAGTTTAACATTCGCGCCAAAATCGCAAAATGGGTGTTAACCCTTTACAAAGCCAAGCCCTGCCCCAGAGGGCCAAGATCCCAAAGGTCACAGGGCTCTTCAGAGCCGCGGACTCAGATTGTGGAACCGAGGTCCTGACATTTTCCAAAAGCCGGTGTCTAGGTCCTGCTGGCACACACGTGACCCCAGCACTCGAGAGGAGGATCACAAGCTTGAACCCAGCTTGGGGTACGCATCCAATTCTAGTCTAGCCAGTGCTAGAGTGGGACAAACAAACAACAGAAAGCCGTACTCCAAGCTTTCCACACCTGCTAGTCCCACGCCACGAAAAAGGGAACTGATTCGTGGAAGCCCAGGCTTCCATGATTCTGCGTGCTACCTTCGGAGTACACGCAGTAATAAACACGCCTGACTGCACACGCCGTACATCGAGTGCTAATGACTGAAACTGAAGTCTTCATAAAGGTACCGACCAGTGCTAAGACTGCACAGACCCACTCATCGTTACGGCCGTCCTCCCACGCAAGGACCGAAGTCCGCGCAAACGCCGCGTGTGGCCAGGCGCATGCGCACACAGCGCGCCCTGCGCATAGGGGCGGGCACGGCCTGCGCTAGGGAGTGCGGCCGGCGTACTCACTGAGTGGCGGAAGGCGGAGGCCGAGCTGATCGTGACCTGCAGGCCTCGGTGGCCGCACGCTCCGATAGGCTCCCTCCAGCGCGGGATCCCGACCGAGACCGAGGCCCGGGACGCCGTCCGGGACGGCAGGCCCGCGACTGCGCGCCGTCCGAGCGCCCACATACCGCTGTTCTGCGGCCGCTCCGCCCCTGCGCGAGGGCCCGATGGCGCCACCTGGTGGCCGTGCCCTGCAAGCGCCGCGGCTCGGCTCCCGCGCGCAGGTCCGCCGTGAGGACGAAGTGCCCAGCACTGTGCGCACGCTTCACCAGAACCCAGAGCCTGCTTGCACTGTGCCACACATGGCACGCATCCCTTGGGCGACACTAGTGTATCAACACTGACCTCCGCGAGTTTATTCACTAACCATTTTACCGAGTGCCAGTGGGCGATTCTGAAGATAACGCGGATGAACAAGATAGCCTTGCTTTCAAAAAATAAAACTTAGTTCTAACAGCTCCAACCGCCTGATAATTTCAAATTCTACATCTCGTAGGCAATAGAAGTGCCAGGCTGACTGGGTGGAGAAGGGCCTTGTGTAGCCCCACGCCCAGCTGAGGAGCCATTGGCTGCGGATGGCTACCGGATGAGGGAAGGTCAGTTGTCTTCTGGGATGTGACCTTTGATAGGTAGGACCGTCCACCTGAGCAAGGACATCTACAGCTAATTTTCCGACAGAATTGGAGGCCCGGACATTTTAAGTGACACACCCCTGATTGAAGGGGAACTAGAACCCGGGCCTTCTGATTTCTGACCAAGGGCTCTTACATCTTAGAAAAGGAGATTTCCTCAGTTGCAATAGTGTAGCTCTGACTGATTGGGCTGAAACCGTGTGCCCGTCCACTGAAGCTAATGTTCTGGACAAGATGGCAGCAACATTACCGGCCAGGGACATGGTCTATTTTGTGCGGCTGCACTGCCTGAATCTAGTGAGTTTATAAAGAACAGAAAAGAATCCTGGGGGTGGGGGCAAAGAGAAGAATGCTGTTCCTCACACAACGCAAAGGGCTCCTCCTCCAAGCCCTTCATATAGCAAGAGTGGAGCCCTCATGACCCAGACCCATCCAAAGGCAGCATCTCCTGATGCTCTCCCTCCCCCCCCCTCTCTCTCTCTCTCTCTGTGTGTGTGTGTGTGTGTGTGTGAAGGGTTGCAATAGGAATTCACGGAGTTGACAAAAACACTCAAACCACAGAAGCCAGTACCAGGGAGGGGCACATTCTGATGAAGAGGTGTGGGAAAATTCCAGGGAGAGCTATTCCAGTCCAGAAGGGTGGGCATTAACCCCCAACTCTCTACACTCCTGCTCCTTCTCCAGCCGTTCTTCACTTGTTCCTCTGATACCTGGCCTGAGGCCTCAGCTTCCTGCCAAGAGGTGGCTTTCTCTCTGGGGAGTTGTTTACTTATTGTATTGATCAGAGAGGTTCTAGGGTGTTCTTCTCCACCATCTGCCAAGGCTATATCTTTGTTTACTGAGGATCTTGGAACAGCATTCACTGTGCCCCGTCCCAGGAGACTGATAACACCCAAGTCAGCATCCAGACACTGGCTTGCCCTTCAATACACTGCTATGAACTGAACATAGAATTGATTCAGGCTGGGCTGTGGTGGTACAAGTCTTTAACCCCTCATAGGAGGGTCTCTGTGAGTTCAAGGCCAACCTGGTCTACACAGCAAGTTTCAGGACAGTGAAGGCTCCACAGAGAAACTCGGTCATAAAAAACCAAACCAAGCGTTGTTTACGTGGGAGCTCACAGAAGTGGAACTGTTCCACCTTGATTAATGGTCACAGAGTTCAGACCTATTTTTGCTCCTTCAAGATTGTACGACAGGATGTTTTGACCTAAGGTATGGTTACTTGATGGTTTGGGTATTAAGAAAGCAGTTACTTTGTTCTTTGTATCTTGGTGAAGAAGTCTTTTGCCTTCCGCTCTCTTTTTGGACTGGGATATATAAGGGCTATGAGAAATGAAGGCCCGGCTAGTCTCAGGATTTACTGGGTGCCCTCTGTCTGCTGTCTCTTGTCTATTTCTTTCTTAATCCTCACTCTTCCCCACAAGGGCGGATGAAAGTGCCAGGCCAGACTTGACCCAACAGATTCATAAGGTGTTTGAATTAATCAGCCAATATCAAATGTTTCTGAGAATAAATGAGAAAACCGGACTAGTTTAAATAAATAATTGCCAATTATGAAACTTGCAAAGGCCAGAAGAAAGGAGGTTGGAATTTATTTGCTGGACATGGCACTCAGCAGTGTGGGAAAAAAAAAGAAAAGAAAAAGGAAAAGGAAAAAAGAAAGAAAAGAAACCCTCTTTTGGAGCTTTGAGGGATGATGAGGGAAAAGGCAGGTGGTGTGGTTGGGAGAGCATGTTTTGTTTGTTTGTTTGTTTGGTTTTGAGACAAGGTCTTACTATTCAGCCCTGACTGTCCCGAAACTCACTCTGCAGACCAGGCTGGCCTCAGACTCACAGAGATCTGTCTACCTCTGCCTCTCAAAGGCTGGGATTAAGCGTGTGCCGCCACAGTCATCATGTTTGGCAAGGGCTCGATCACTGAGCTCCACCCTCGGCCCTGAGATACCCGCTGTAGAGGGTGCCTGTGTTGGATAAGAAACTGGCATACATACAGCTCGTGGCCCTCAGGGAAGCTCACTCGCGATTTTGCTGACTCAGCATGGCCTTCAGCAGGAGAGAAACACACTTCTCATGGATACCCAAGGGAAGTCAGGGCAGGAACTGAAGCAGGAACCCAAAGGGGGCGGGATGGGGAGCGCTGCTTCCTCGCTTGCTCCATATGACTTGTTTAGTCTGCTTTTTATACAGCTCAGGCCTACCTGCCCAACAGGTGTTAAAATGAATCAGAAAGGTATACTGGGCTGAACTGTGCCTCCAAATTCTTCCCAGAAAACCCTAAGCTTCAGTGTATCCTGAACAAAAGTGTATTTACACCAAAGGCCTTTAGAGGTGTGAGGTTAGGCTCCAGGAGGGCACAAGGATGAGACCCAAATCCAGAGGGCGTGGGGTTGGGGTACACAAAGCTCTGGGTTTGATTGCAAGCACCGCAAAAAGAACAAGAAGCCAGGTGTAGTGTATCTCCCCATAAGCTGTTGTGTAGAGAGGTCCAAAAGGTTCCCTCGCAACAATACAGACAATATTGTCTTTGCTCTTGGTTGTCCACTAGAACCTATTGCTGAAGACTCTACACACTTTGTACGGCTGGGGGTTAGCTCCCAAGACAGAAGACTAAAGCGTGAAACCAACGTTCTACATGTTGATATGCTAGAGACCTAACTAATAGTCGGTAATAAGTCAAACATGGTCACACGGCCCTTGAATAGGCTTTCTCAATAGTAGCCCTTTTGACTTCCTTGGGGCAGAGTTGCAGCAATGCTAGATTCTAACCACTAGATGGCAGAAGCATCCATTCTAGACACTTGCTCTAGTCAACCGAATCCAGACCCTTTGTAGTGTCTGGGGCAAAACCGGTCCCCTTCATTATCGCTGTTATAGTGTAGCTTTGAACTAAAGACGTACAGTCATCTTCTCTTTATTTACAGTTTTAGATAATTTCCATAACATTGTCCAAATTCCTTCAAACTTAGGTCTTATTTATATTTATTTATTTTTATTTTTATTTTTTTATTTTTTTGGTTTTTCGAGACAGGGTTTCTCTGTGGCTTTGGAGCCTGTCCTGGAACTAGCTCTGTAGACCAGGCTGGTCTCGAACTCACAGAGATCCGCCTGCCTCTGCCTCCAGTGCTGGGATTAAAGGCGTGCGCCACCACCGCCCATATTTATTTTTTTTCAATCAGGGTCTTGCTAGGAAGCCCAGGCTGGCTTGGAATTCCCATTCTCTTGCCTCCAGCTCCTGAGAGCTCGGACTATAGGCATATGCTTCTCTGAGTTTCAGTTTCCTCCCTGTCAAACAGAGAGACTGCCTCGGGGCTTTGCATGCAGATGGAAGGAACGGCACACAAGAAATCATCAAGTCATTTAAGGGGCACAGTTTTCTACCTGTGAGAGCAGAGGCTAGCACTCCAGATCTCCTCTCCTTGGTGGCCACAGACTTCAGGCTGGGGCAGATCACTGAGAATCCAGGGCTCTGCAGCCGGAAGTGGGCATTCATCCTCCAGGTAGGAATTGACCATAGCTGGGGGCAGGGCTGCTTGCCTTTCCCTTAGCCTTGGTAATCACTGAATGGCAGCCGTTTCTCTGCTGGATGCGGCTACACCACTTCCCACTTCCTTTTCCAAGCCAGCAAGTGTGGGGCCTGCTGGATTCCATGCTGTGAAGATGAGGGCTGTGCAGTAGGGGCTGAGATAGTCGGCCAAGGTTCCGGAGGAAATGGACCTTCCAACAAACACGTGAACAAGCTTGGGCATGGGTCTTCTTGCGCCAACGGCTGCAGCTCCGACTGACAGCTTACTGAGTTAACGCAAGGGCTAATGGTTCCTTGACGCCAGAGAAAGGCAGAGGACCTAGCTGTTTGTTTTAGTAACGGTGATGTTGGAAGAGCACCTGGGACAGGATTTAAAAGAGGATCCCTTTTCTTAGATGTTCAGTTGAGATACAGATCACACTTTCTTCTTTCCTGTGAACCACTGATGAGGTGAAATCTCTGGATGAAATTTTCACCACAAATTGTCTTTCAGGCCGGACCACATATGCTACCTCTATCTGTACTCCGGACCTCATAGTCATCTGAAGTTTTCTTCCTTAGATGTCTTCAAACTGCAGGCGCCATCTGCTTTCTGGTTTTAATCTCCATTCCTTTGCCTCACCCATGCTTCCCTTTCCACCTCCCCCGCCCCCCACTGCATCCAGCTGCCTGTCCATCCTACAGATCCAGGCCCTGTGGCTGCTGACGAGACGGTGAATAAGGCTGCTAATCAACACCTTCTATGAAGTTTCTAGTCTCGTGTGGGAAGGAGATAATTTAAAAGCTCTTACAGAGTCGTGGAAGTGTATGACGAGGTTAATCAGAGGAGTGGCTCTCTCTCCGTTTGAGGGGTGATGAAGGCACACGTCCTTGAGGTCCAAGTGATCAGAAGGTGGTTAGGCAAGGGTGGGCTGAGGAAGAGCACAGTGGGTAGAGGGGACTAAAGGAAATGAGGACACAATCCCTACAAGTTACAGTTGAGGAGGTTTGCATTGTAGATACAAG